CAAGAAGTCATAAAGCAGAAGGCTATCAATGCGGGAAGTATACTGTTATCTAGACTGTAATTAGGAGGAGCTGAGAATGGGCACTCCAGCTCCAAGTGCATAGGAGCCTTGACTCTTTCCTCTGGGTCTGGATTCCCAGCCAAGTAATCAGTGGAGTCCTTATCAGCCATCTCGGGGCTCAAGCCTGAGCTGCATTTTATTCTGAAAACTTTATGGCAAAAGCAGCCCTGCTGTTTCTCCTAAATGTTTAACTGGGGAAAAAAAATAAAACAAGAAAAACAAAGAGCAACTTCACCCATTTCTTCATTTGCTCATTAATTCAACAAATATTTATTCTATGGTCCAGGCACAAAGCTAGGTATGGGCCGTTCGCTGAGGAAGATACAGTCCCTGACTTCAGAATAGTCAGATTCTAATAGGACAGACAGACCAAAGAAGCCCTCAGACTTCACACCATGCAAGCAGGCATGGGTGCTGGAAGGGGGTCACAGTCCGTAGCTCCAGCAGCAGCGAAGATGGTAATAGGCCCAATCTGTGGAGGAAGTGGCATTCAGGTTCAAGTTTAAAAGAAGGCTGCATGGGGCGCCTGGGTGGTTCAGTCAGTTAAGCACCTGCCTTCGGCTCAAGCCATGATCCAGGGGTCCTGGGATCAAGCCCTGCATTGGGCTCCCTGCTCCATGGGGAGCCTGCTTCTCTCTCTCTCTCTCTCTCTCTGTCAAATAAATAAAATCTTTAAAAAAATGAAAGAAGGCTGCATGCTGGTCAAATGGCAAGGTAGGGAAAGAGAAGGAAATAGTATGCCCCCACTCATGAGAAGGCACCAGGTATGTTTGGGGTTATGGATAACGTTTGCATGACTGATGCACCGAAGGGGGGCTGGCCATGTAGGGGAATTTGAGGGGCAGAGACAAGACTATCATCCAGATGGTTCTAAGGAATGAGAGAAGTGAGCAATGCAGATGACGTTTACCTGGATTTCAAACCTATTTATTTAAAGGTGGTTTTCCACAGGTATATTAAATAGATAAAATCTTTAAAAAAAAAAAAAAAGGAAGAGATTCAATGAGCAATAAGATAAACCAAGATATCCCATGAGAATCCTGTAGTGATTTCTTAAAAGCCGGATCACCATTAAAGAACTATGAAAATTCTATTGAACCTATCAGTGAATTACTAGACCCCACTGCCATAAAACCCCATGATTTTACATAGCTAAAACCATAAAATTCAGCAATGAGTAACTTTTTTTCTGCTTCTTCTCATCTCAATGGCCCATGTTATACTGCTCTATTCACACCACTATTAAAGATGCCCGGCACGGGAGTCAGAACTGGTTAACCCTGACCATGTTACTTGTGAACCTGTGTGACCCTCGTGACCCTCGGCGAGTTATTAACCTCTCTGAGCCTCCGTTTCCTCTAATAGGCCCATCTCTTAGGGACGCTGTTGACATTTGGTGAGACAATGTGTGAAGTGGGTGTTTCTATTTCCACTTTATATTAAAAGAGTAAATGAGATTCAGAGAGGTTACATGATGTGCAGCAGACTACACAGCAAGAGAAAAGCCCTCAGACTTCACACCAGGGCTTCTGACTCACTCCACCATCCAGTTCTCTTTTCTGTCATAATTCTGGTTTGGGTGTTTTAATTTCTTTTTTTTTTTTTGGTGGTGATTTTCAATGGTAAATATAATTAAATTTCAACGATGATGACCTTTTTCATACTGTGGAAATAATAAAAGTTTTTGAATAAAGACAAAATAAAGGGGGAGTGCAGCATGATGAGAACTGTAGCAAAAATAGCACTGGATGAACACTTTAAATGGGTGGATTGTATGGTTTGTGAATCGTATCTCAATAAAGCTGTTAAAAATAAGAAAAATTAAAATAGCACTGGGTGAGAAGTGAGTAATGTGGCATTTAGGAGTGGTAGGATTTTCAGGAAGTCACATTTGCTGCTCCATTTCCTTACCTGTAAAATAGGGATCCTATTACCTGCACTGTCTTTGCCAAGGAATTAGGATAAAATGGGGCCTTAAATGGTAAAACCATCGTGGTGCTATAATGACACTAAAAAGAACTTGAGAACCAAGGGGCTTTATTTATTAATTTCTAGTTGACAAGTGAACCTCCTAAAATGTATAAGAAAAGACGTCTACCCAGGAGCACCTGGGTGGCTCAGTCGGATAAGCGTCTGCCTTTGGCTCAGGTCATGATCCTGACGTCCTGGGACCAAGCCCCAGGGTCCTAGGATCGAGCCCCGCATCCAGCTCCCTGCTCAGCAGGGAGCCTGCTTCTCCCTCTCCCTCTGCCTGCCTCTCTCTCTCTCTCTGTCAAATAAATAAATAAAATATTTAAAGAGAGAGAGAGAAAAAAAAGAAAAGATGTCTACCCCAACTCGCAAGCACCTGTTCATGAGGTCATCCCTTCTCAAAATACTGAAAGTCACTAAAATATCAGCAGCAGGAAGTTCTGGAAAACGCAGGTCACATGAGCTTGTTTCCCTGTGGCACTGTTACAATATAATCAGGAGGATGTATTCTCCAAATGAACGGCTTCCTAATCCGTTGGCACAACAGGTTGTTAGAGAGTTCTGCTTTACCAATCACATGGACCAAGAATCAAAATAAACGCAAATGTGGCTTGAGTTCTCCAAGCCTATAACAGAATCCCAAGTCACCCTGGTCTACTCATGTTCAAAGGTACACACGCTGCACCAGACCCAGAAACAGACCTCTTCTGAATTTCCTTCCCATTTTATGAAGGAAATATAAAATGACATGGTACTTTTCTCTTTTAGTAGAAAGACCATTTCGACCTTCCCAATTCCTGACTCATGGGTTTCATAGAAATGAAACATTAATACCAAGGGCTTTATACACGCAAAGACAAAACATGATTTTCCACTGTTTTTAAAAGGCTGAGGTCATCTTTGCCCCAATTCCTATAGAGTGGTAAGCTTAAAATCAAGCCATTTAGCTCACAGTCAGGTCCTATAAATCAGTGGAAAAAAATAAATGGGAAAGCATGCCAAAACGTAACCATAGTAACACCACAGATGCGTCAAGAAATGGTGTGCTCATTTGCTTCATTCCCCATTTCTTAAATTGGAATCTAAGTAGGGGAAAAATTACACAGAGAACACTCATGATTCTGCAAGTACCGAATTCTGCAAAATGGTATTCAGCCTGCCATCCCGGAACATCAGAGCAGCTATAATACGGCTACAAAGACAGCCCCGGGTGGTGAGAGTCCAGAAGACCCAATCAGACACTTATCAGTGACCTGATCTCCCCATGACTCTGTTTCCTCATCTGTAAACTGGGTAGTAAAAATCCCAACATCAAAGAGTCATTCCGAGGGTAAAACTGGTCCGCAGAGCAGAGTCAGGACAATGGGGGACTCAGGAGACCGCAAGTCCTGGTCAACTTCAGCTTTGTTTTTTATTGGCTTACCTTGGTGCCTTGGTTTCTTGATCCATAAAAAGAATGATAATCCCTTCACAACCCATGTGATTAACATTAGGAATTACTACTAATCTAATTGTAAAGAATTATTAGTAGGATATAAGGTTACAGCATTCAATTCCAATGCTGAAAGACTAAAAGAACTGAGGCCCAGAGATTCGGATTAATGCATTATCACCACATTTTCTCTTTCAAATGTAGCTCTGCCACTCAGCAGAAAGAGACAACCCTGGGGCACTGACCCAAGCTCCTTACACTCAACCTCTTTTCCTCTCGGAGGCTTGGTTTTATTGATAAGTAAAATGAAGAGCAGGGGGCTGTTCTAGAACCTGATCTTTAAAGGTCCCAGTCTAGACTAATGGCCTAAGTCCCTGCAGATCTATGGTGGCTTACATTAAGTTCTGTTTATCATTTTGCTGTAATGCCAGGAAACATTAGGACTCCAGCACACCCCTTGAAAAATACTATTAAGAAAAAAAGGAAAGAAAGAAAGAAAGAAGAAAAGAAAAACCATTATAGCAAACAAATCACAGCAATAAGCAGGGTACCTTCAACTTCAAATGATTCCTACTGCTTTTGTTGGTTAAAAAATGTTATTGCTAAAAAAATAAAATTTCAAGCTTTGAAGGACTGGGTAACAATAGAAGAGAAAAATTTCAAGTACTAAAACCAAAATCACTCTTTCTTCTTAATTTTAAATAAAATGAAATCACTCTAAGTCTCCCCAGGACTCCTACCTTATAATCAGCTGTATAGGAATGCAGTATGGTAGAACATGGTAAGAGTTCACTACAACTTCATCCGCCGCATAGACTGACTTCCCCCACTTCCTCCTCTTCCTTCCTTTCCTTCCTTCCTCCCCAAGCAATATAAAAACCTTGCTTTCATGGCCCCTATATTCCATGTCTTGCTTTCTCAGATTTGGTCTGATCTAATGGGTTTGTGGGATTTGAGTTTTTAATTGGTGGAAACTATTTCTTCAGAGAAATTATGCGTGAAATGCAGATCTATGAATCGGGTCATGTTGGGGAAAATGAGAGCCCACTGAGGCATTCTCTGTGCTGAGGGGCCATGAGGAACTTACTGATCTCTGCAGAGATCAATCTGAAAGCCTCTGGCCTGGTCCACCCCATTAATAACAATGATGGTTAACATTTATGGAGGCTTACAACATGCCCATACTTTGCAAAATGTACTTACGTGCCTCATCCCCTGGACTCTTCCCAATAGTCCTATTGAATTAGTATGACTCAGACGTCCTTTCCACGGATGTGAAAACTGGCCCCCAAAAAGGACAACTAATTTACCTGGCATTATAAGCAAGTACGTGGCAGAGCCAGAACCTGAAAGTCAAGTAATTCACCTTTCGCTATGCTCTATGTCCCACAGTCACTTATGATTCCCTGGACTTAGGGAGTCACTATGCGAGCAAGCCGACTGACCAGTGTTCCAGAACCACCTGGTGAGCTCTTCTGGCTCCACCAACTTTCCACACACCCACCCAGCAGTAAGGTGCCCTAAACTAGCTACTTACAAGGCACAGCATGGCGATAAAGGTTATCCCTTATGGTCTGCTGGAGCTCATGATCAGGAGACCCTTTCTGGAACCGCTGATTGAGGAAATGTCGCAGGTCCTTGTTCAGCTTTCCTCCTGTAGGTAATATATAAAATAGACAGAACACATCAACAACAGGCCTTCCTAGAGACTGAGCAGCTGGAGAGTTGTGTGTGGAAATGCCACCTCAAGCCACTGTAGCCCGCCAACCTTAGTCATTAGGAGGAATGACTTCAGATTTTCTTTTGCAGAGGAAAAAGCAAGCTAGAATGTAATAAAGATAAAACAGCATTGAAATAGCATTAATTTGGGGGTCCCATTTCACATAATACTAGAAGGCTCAAATAACAAAGAATTTAAACTATGCTATTACATTTAAAATATGTGCCATAGACACTTGCAGACACTATTAAAGAGAGAGTAAATGGCTGAAACCATAAAGAGAACAATGTAGCAATAGCTGACAAATTACACAATGTTCTTTGACCAGGGATCCAATTGGTAGAAATGTACCCTATGAGTATACTTGCAAAAGCCTGCACCATCTCCAGTATTGTTTATTGCAGCATTTTTGTAACAGCAAATAAATAAAAAGAAAAACAAAAAACCTGGAAAAAAACCACAAGGGATCAGCTAAGTAAAGCACAGTTCATTCATATAGTAACTACTCCAAGAAAGCTAGATCTGCAGGTGTTGGTGTCAAAGGAAAATATGTAGAGTAGTGTATCGTGTCTGATTCCTTTTGTGTAAAAAGAAATAAAGAAGAGAGATCCTGTTTGCTATAAGGAATCACCACAAAGTTTTAACAACAGTTTCCTTTGGGCAGAAGGACATGAGCTTGGGAAATAAGGGAGAAGATGTTGCTCTTCTTTCTATAGACACATACAGATATATAGATCTTATGATCCTGTGTTGATTTCCAAACACTAGATACATACCATTCTTTCATTAACTATTGTATAAGCAATAGTTACCTGGGTGGGTCTGTGTATTTCTTTGTAATTCTCTACATTAACAAAACAAAACAATAGCTAAAAATATTGTTACAAAAATATGTCATAGAAAGGAGAAGGTAACCAAATGTTCTTTTTAAATCACAAACACAAATTATAGTCTACAGTATCAACACAGAGCTTACAGATCAACTTAGCTAACATTTATTCTTAATGGAGAAAGATGGTTCAGTGACAGCTAAAAATAACAAGACTAAAATCGTCTTTCCATTTTTAGACAAGAAAAAAATTAGGTAAGAGCATTTCTAGCCTTAGAGAAACAAAGTAGCAATGCAGTATCTATGTGAGGCACAGAATTCATGTCTTTGGATGATAACTTCCCTATGGTCAAAAAGAATAAATCATGAGGATGACAGTGATGGTTAAGATGATGATATGTCCCATGCAGGGCAGGAAACTACTGATCCTTACTTTAACATTATGTTCAAAACAAGATTCCCTATTACAGATGATCATTTTAGAATAGACTAATAAAACCCAATTTGAACTATTTTATTTGAGATGTATTATACCTCAGGTTTCAATTAATCACAAGGAAAACATATATTTGAGTCAAGCTTAGGTCATTTAATAAATATTCAATTACTCACCAAGCATTTGTTGAATAAAAAAGACAAACATTCACCTATCCACTCATGACCCCCCGCAAAGGGGCATAAAGTTTGAATAATTTACAAAAGAATATATATGATTGGCCACTAACCATATAAAAAGATAGTCAATATCATTAATTATCAGAGAAAGGCAAATGAAAGCCACAGTGAGATCCCACTACATACCTACTAGAATGGCCAAAATTTAAAAGACTGCCAGTATCAAGTGTTAGCAAGATTGTAGAACAAAAGGAACTCTTACACACTGTCAGTGGGCATATAAAATGGTTCATTCTCTTGGGAAAAGAATTTGGCAGTATCTTATAAAGTTAAACCTTCACTAACCAAATGGCCCAGCATTTCCACTCTTATTTATGCAAGAGAAATGAAAATAAGTGCATACACACACACAAACCTGTAGATGAATCTTCACAGCAACTTTATTCACTATATAATAGTCCAAACTTGGGAACAACCCAAATGTCCATCAACAGATAAATGGGTAAGCAAACTACTATATTCAAATAGGATGCAACACAACAATTAACGGGAACAAACTACTAATACATACAGTAATATTTATGCATCTAAAACACATAATGCTGAGCAAAAGAAGCTAGACACAAAAGGCAACATTCTGTATGATTCCATTTATATAGAGAGTTTTAGAACAATCTAAACTATAGTGAGAAATAGCAGTTCCATGGTTACCTGGGGCTGGGATTAGGCAGAGACTAACTGCAAGGTGCACAAGGGAATAAGATCTATGGCGAGTACCCATGTCAATTTTCTGGCTTTGCAACTGTACTATACTTATGTAACGGGTTATCATTGAGGGGAAACTGGGTGAAGGGTACAGGGGATCTTTGTACTATTTTTTACACCTTCTTGAGAGTCTAAAATGATTTCAACATAAAACATTTCTTTTTTTTTTAAAAGATTTATTTATTTGAGAGAGAGAGAGAACGAGAGATAGAAAGCACGAGAGGGAAGAGGGTCAGAGGGAGAAGCAGACTCCCTGCTGAGCAGGAAGCCCGATGTGGGACTCGATCCCGGGACTCCAGGATCATGACCTGAGCCGAAGGCAGTCGCTTAACCAACTGAGCCACCCAGGCGCCCCAACATAAAACATTTCTTAAAAAGGGGAGCACAAGGGAAGTTTGTGAAGTGGATGCCAATATAGAAAATCTTAATTGTGACAGTGACAATAGTGGTTTATACATTTATCAAAACTTATGGAACTGTGTGTATGGGTATGCAATTTATAGTATGTATATTACACTTATAAAATTGATTTCAAAGGTTTAAGAATGTACACATAATTACTGAATGATTATGTGATAGGCACTGTTCTAAATGCTTAATTCTCAAATTCCCCTTGGAGAGATAACAGAAAGAAAAATAGAGTAAATCTTGGTAGTTAAGACCAAGGCTTTGGGTTTAAAGCCTGACTCCACTATTTATTAGCTGGCGAACCCAAGCATGTTGCTTAATCTCTGAACCTTATCTGCAAAAATAGAGCACTGCAAACACAGTAACTCTGCTACAAAATTGTCAAGAGGATTAAATGAGGTTCCAACGGTGCCTGGCACAGAGAAAGCACCCAATGAAAGATGGGAATTGTCATGACAATGCAGAGGGGACAACTGTTGAGGTGAGAGGGAAAGAGCTGAGGTTAGTTCAAAGATGGGCTGTTACTCTTTTTTAAAATGCACAAAACATAAAACCCAGTCTATTACTTAGAAATAGCTATAAACAAAATACAGGCATAGGGAAATTTGGATTAAAGGATATTTCTAGGGTTTCTGGAAAGGAATAAAATTCTACTTGTGGGGGGCACCTGGGTGGCTCAGTCAGTTAAGTGTCCACCTTTGGCTCAGGACATGATCCTGGGGTCCCCAGGTCCAGCTCCCTGCTCAGTGGGGAGTCTGCTTCCCCCTCTCCCTCTACTCCTCCCCCTGCAGCTCCCCCTGCTTCTGCTCTCTTGCTAGCTCACTCTATCAAATAAATAAATAAAATCTTAAAAAAAAAAAAGCTCTACTTGTTCTAAAATTATCTGGACATACATAAATTGGTTAGCATTTAGTGCATCCTTAATATATTTTTGGCACTGTGCTGGAGTTGAAATGAAACCAACTGGTAAATCACTGATACTTAATAGCCACCCCTGTCAACTCTATCTCTAGGTATAAGGTACCCTGGAATTTGACCAAAAGGATAACAATGTTTACCAGCAAAATCTTCATTGTTTAGGACCTAGAGTTTATATACCCCTTAGGAGACCACACCTGCAGAAATTAGAAAGACACTGAGCCATGAGTAGAAAAGATGTTATGGGATCCAAATGTACTGTTTGAGTCAAAAGAAAATCCCAAAGAAGATTCAGGATACAGTATCTCTTTTTCCTATATAGAACGCAGGTTTACACATTCTTTTTTTTTTTTTAAGATTTTATTTATTTATTTGACAGAGAGAGAGAGAGCACAAGTAGGGGGAGCTGCAGACAGAGGGAGAGGGAGAAGCAGGCTCCCGCCTGAGCAAGGAGCCCAACATGGGGCTCTCGATCCCAGGACCCTGGTGGGATCAAGACCTGAGCCGAAAGCAGACTCTTAACTGACTGAGCGACCCAGGCATCCCAGGTTTACACATTCCTATGGATCACCAGCAGGTACCTATCAAGATAAACCAAGGGCTTATAGATTGGGAGGCATTCTTAAGACATATAGACACTCTTGGTTTACACTTGAGCTTTACCGTGAAACTAGCCAAGCTAGCTAAAGTTTATGATCATCGAACTAAAACTGCAGATGTGCAAAAGGGCAGGGTTAACGATGCTGGTGGTTAACATTTACTCTGTGTTCCGTGACATTTGTAAGCGAAAAGCCTCAACCTTCCCATTACATTAAGAATACTGTACTTTTTGGCATCTAATCTCAAATTAATTGCCAATTATTCAGGGGATATGTCTATAAATCTTCTCCTAATTGTCAAGGCAGTGAGCCAATGAAATAATAAATTGCTAGAGAGAGAGTTTGTCATAGCATCCTCGCTTTCTTTGAAATCCAAGATTTATTTTGCAAATGGAAAAGAAAACATAGGTCAGAAATACATTGAACTTTTTCCTAGAAAAGGATTCAGAGTTTATTTTAAGATAATTTTATAATTTCAGTGACAAAAATGGAGCTGACTCTCTGTCCTGGATTTGCCATTATATTTTCATATCAATGTATCCAAAACTGTCGGTTTTAAATTTACAACAATGTATCTCTGCTTTTTCCATTCACATTAGTTTATAGAAATTTAACCATGTCAACTGATGTAACCTTTCGTAATTATTTTAAATGTGGTATAATATTCCATTTAAAAAATACAATACTTATGTATCCCTTGTAAAAAATCAGGCTATTTCCAATGTAGTCAACAGAATAATGCTATAATAAATGCCATTGTAATTTTTTTCTTTTCAAATGTGTATATGTACAGGAAAAAA